CCCCAAAACCCCAAAACCCCATGAAGAAAATCTATTAATTTAAAATAATGAAAATTATAATATAAAATCCAGATTTATAATAAAGAATTCAACCTTTCAGTATTTTAATCTATTGCACTACATTTAAATAAGATTGTCAACAGTCCTCTTCTTGAATACTGTGAAGATGACCAGCCAATTGCTAATCAATGGCTCTTTCAAGCTTTGCCTTCTTCTTTCTATTCAGGTTGTATCGTGAACAAAATTCATCCACTATAAACTGAATGTTATCGCCCTCATTAATAATGATTCTTTGCATCTTATCGTCTCCCAAGTTTACATCAAGATATAGAAGTGGGATAGGAGGAGGAATGTAAGCTAATTGCTGGTTCTACTATTGCTACTAGGTGCTTACTTTATTCTGAGTTTCAGATTAACCTTAGCTATTGGGTGAGACAGAAGTAATTTATCTGTCAATTGAGGAATTTAAAGTGTCTCTATGAGGAGGGCTTTCTACTCTTTACTTGGGTGAGAAATTATTTGATCTCACTAAATAATTTATTTATAATGATAAACTTACAATTGCTATCGTTTTTAGTTAGATGAGGTGAAATATCCTTATTTAGCATATCTGATCTGTCTTTGATTACTGAGCTTTGAAGCACTGGCTTGAACTTATTCTGGCTTTATAATAGTGAGGAGTGTGAGGATGATGGTGACTTTTGAGTGTTTTATTTAGATCTTATCAGATTCTCTCTAGATTTATTTAAAGTAGCATTGAGGGAATCTGTAACCATTGGCTTTGTGTTTTTATTTGTTTAGGCCTTTACCTTTGTCTAAGGATAGTATAAATTATTAGGATTATTGTCAGTTTTATAAAGAATTTTGGGAGAGAGGACTGGCTTATGCTTGTTTTCAGACCTCTATGGCGAGAATAGAGTATATTTTTACTTCTATGAATCTACAATTTTTTTATTTTCACTATTTTCTTTCACCAATTATTGTTCGAGGTTTCTTTGACCAGAAGTTTAATTGATAAAATTAAGAGGCCCGCTTATTGATGGCTATTTAGAATTTAATTTCTTCGAGCTGCTATATTATTGAGGTGCAAATGAGCATTCTGTTTGAGCTCTTTCGTATTCTATCTCATCAGCAGGCTTTAGTTCTTTAGACCTTGATCTTGTATGATCCTTTAAATGCAATTGACTAAACTTGTCATCTATAGTCAATTAATTATCAATGGTAAAATTATTTCTTCTATTTGTGAATGGCTTAAATGTGCAATCATCAAGTTCCTATTACTATTTTAGTTGCTGAAGATACTCTAATTTTTCCTATTGATATCTACCTCTTTAAATCAAGCTATCAGCATGCTCTTTCTGCTATTTCATGGATATTGTAATATTTAAATTCCCTCGACTAGATTGCCCCTTGTCGAAGTAGTTCGAGGACAGATTCTAGTAGGATTAGTTCAGCCTGTTATCTCGAGATTTTGATCTTTATTTAGATGATTCCTCATCTAAATGCCTGCGCCTATTTTAGAGTAACACAAAGTACTTTTTAGAAATCAATGCAGCTTCTTCTTAATCCTATAGAAATACTACAATGTCTTGCTTTTGCTTTTAATCTTCATCCTTAGGAGGAGATGACTCAATCATCCAGGGAAAAAATACTCCTTCTATTGCAGTGAAGAATATCTTGAGCGTCAAAATGTGAACTTTTTTATAATCTCCATTATTGGTTATTCTATCCCAGAGTTTAGTTTCTAGTTTTCTTTGTTTTTCGAAAACAGCCTCACTTGCGTAAGTCCTTGGCTTATACCCCATACTGAACATAAACTTCAGGAATTGATTATAGCTAATTTAATCATCTTTTATCTTGCAATCTTTTAAAGCTTGATCTATATCCTTATGTAACCTTTGGCTTACATATTGCAGACTCTTTTGATTCAAGCTCACCTCTTGAAATTTCAAAGCGATATTTTCTCCAATAGCTGTGGTTTAAGCATCATGATTATTAGTGCTTTGAATTCTTCTATGATTATATAATCTTTATACTACCTCTTCAGTAGATATATTATGCCTACTTTTACTAAGCTCTCTACTCCCAGATCTGCTTGCCCATCTAGATGAAGAACCATAATATTTCTCTTAAAGCACTGAAAGATGCTCTTCCTTTTTCTATTCAAATGCTTGGGATCTTTGTAAAAAGTCCATGCTCGATAAGTTAGATTGATCCCTTTCTCTACTCCCGTTACCTTTAAGCTGTTTTTATCGTTTCTTGTTCTAAATCTTAATGAGTTGATCATTTATAAAGTTCTCTCTCAATTGTCTCAACTTTTCCTCTTTTAGTTTCTCCAAATGCACCTAATCTTTAGCGAATTCTTAATAACTTCTTCTAGCTGCTGAGTTTTGTTGTTCTCTTTCACTACTTTTAATCCTTATTGGGGACTTTGAGATCTCTGGTTTGAAGGTACAGTGCTCTAATTCTTGCTCTTCAAAGTTTGGGGGCTGGTATTCTTTTCTTTATTTTACCCATTAAGCCTATTATTAGTATAATCTTGAATAGTTAGTAATTTAGGTTGAACTATTCTGTGCCTAAAGTTTCGATATATTACCAAAAGGTGATTTTCTTCCTTAGGATTACTTCTTGCTTTACTTATATATTTTCAGCTATTATTCAACTATCTTTTTCTTAAGCTTATCGTTATTTCCCTTCTAGTTAGAGGAGGTTACTTCATCAATCCTTTCCAATTCCTCACTAAAACCTTCCCTTCTATTGGCAGATAATTAAAGATTCAGTGACTAATCATTTTTGTTGTTACACTATATAAGGTTTATTTAAGATAGCTAATTTGAGTTTAGTTTTTCCATATTTTGAGGTGCCATGGTCCTTAGTTCTGGAATTCGAATCTGATTTTGATCCTGCTCTGTGAAATGGCTTTTAGATTACTTTTTCAGAGCATTTTGTTGTGAAACTTAATTTCTTGACTTTGAATGATCTGTAGAATTATTTCTTTGTCTTGATTCTATATTGGCACTGCGCTTTTATTCTGATTGCTAGTTAAATAGTCTCTCGTACTCCTTCGAATCAGATAGCCTCATTTTACTAGTTGACTCTGACATCATCATTCTAGAGAAGTCTAGCGATCCCTGCTTGGGACTAAAATTTCCATCATTTTAGTAGTCATTGATATTCATCTATGACATTAAAAAGCTGCCATGATTTTACAAAGAAGAGAGTGTTGCGTTTAGGTTTGGTGTTTTTTTTATCTCCTGAATTTTACAGTCTTTTACAAAATTCTCCTTAGACTACCTTTACTCATTTCTGAATAACTTAGCTTATTGCTTAATTGTAAGATTGGAATACCCTTATTCATTCAGAGTTAAGTTAATATTAGAAGCCTTAGTTGAAAATTTTTTCTTATTTTTGGTTGTTTAACTTCCCACTGCTATTTCCTGCTATTTTTGGAGAACTGCATTACTCAACTCCATAATTTGCTTGAAATCAAGCTATCTTAAGTCTTTTACCTCCTTGTCAACTTACTCATTCGTTGTCTTATTCATAAAGTTTTGAGTATTTGCTGAATGAGTAGGCGTTTTATTTTCTGATTAAAGGATTAGATATTTGGAGTAAATAGACTTAGAGGGTATGGAAGGGGATTAATTACTATTTCTGATTTGCTATCTCTTTGTATCCTCTAGATTATTCACTGTGTGTTTTCAGTTCATTAGCACATTGCAATCCCTTTGCTTATTTTCTTTTATCTGGTTCTATGATTTTGATTAAGAGAGCACTATACTATCTTAATTTTACTAATGCTCTTTTTTATATAAGTACTCATTCTATCTTTCTTTTCTGCCAGCAGAAAAGTCTTAAAACTCATTTGGCACTCTAGCATCATCACTATCTTCGTCTTAACTTGTAGTGTTATTGACTTTCTAAAAATTCATTGGAGGAATCATCCTTAGCTTGTTTGGAGTTACGCCAGCCTTGTACTGTTGCTCTGCTTAAAATTCATCTAGTGTCGTTTAATGGATTTTTTTCTAATCAAGATTCTGCAGTTGCTGATTCGATAACTTCATTAGTTAAGTTTGCTACAACTATTATTTAATTTATATTAAGTGAGTCGTTAAATATAATCATCTATACTTTATCTAATTAAATCTTTTCTGAAATCTAGTATTGCAATGAACAAGGGGTTTTGGGGTTTTGGGGTTTTGGGGTTTTGGGG